TGCTGTTTTCATGTTTTTAATCTGGATTATAAAAATTTAAAAATACAAATATCCGATATACGATCATGACATTCAACGCAATTCTTTATCTCAAGAACCACGTGGTAACTGTTACGCAGTTACATAACTGGTTTTCTAATAAATGAAATGATAACAGTTGCACTCTTATAAAACTTACACATGTATAGACTCAGAAGTTACAAATAACAAGCCTCAAGCAACAGGAGTTTCTTTTTTAGGTAATCAAAAGCATAAGCAGGTACACAGTCGTTGTATTTAACTTATTACTTGCGATTGTAGGAACAGTTGCTTTTGAACAAAGACATCCTAAGAGTGTTTCTCAAATGTTTTTCTAAAAATATAACATTTCAACGTCTACGTACCTAGGAAGTACACTTTACTAAAGATGCTAGCGTGGAGCTTAAGTCGAGATACCAGTCAATGCGAAACTTTACTTAATAGAACACCTGTTTTAATTACTAACTATTTCGCGTCTCCCATCCATTTTAGTTTGAAAGAGTTGCAAAATATACAATTTGAGGGAAATAGAGCAAACGAGGTTCTATAGAATAGATAGAATAAACGGGATTTTATAGAATAATAAGCTATTAGGATATCGTTAGGATACTGTCCAGTGAGTAAGAAGAGCTTTTGTCCATTTTGATTTTTTTTTATTATTTGGATAAATATGTTTTGGAAAAAAAAAACATAATCTCGAATAGAGCATATTCAAATTTATCTACGATTGGTCACGTTTAGAACATTACTCAGTCAGCATATTATAGATATATCTATACATCTGTACAGGTGAATAAGATGGTTAAATGATACAAATAATGAGGAATTGCTCCCCCCCTCCGTTTTCTATTGTATCAAAACCAAGTACAGCAGAGTAAAATCACGTATTGGTAGTATACACTGTAATTAGCTGTAATACCTAATACCTATTAATATTTTTTACTCATTCAAATCGTTATATATCATTAATAATATCCTCGTTCGAGTATGGTTTCAATCTGTTAATCAATAAAATTTCTCGTCACGTTATCTAGCGAGGGTTTGATCATACAGTGATTTATGATAATATCATATTCGTAAAGCACATAATCACGTATACGTCATTTATTGTACGTCACTGAGTTCGCATCTTTCTTGATACGTGTTCCCAACAGCTTATTGGATAACATAGTTATAATTACATATAGGCTACTTAAATTCCAAAATCACCTTTGATGTTATTAAGTATGAACTTCTGCTTAAAAATATTTTCCGCTCTATTCTCACGTTTAAAAACTTTTTTTCTAAATCAATTACTATAATTTCTATGACATATATCACACAAACGGCTTTTTGTTTTTACATTTATAGCCTCTATATGCTAATATTATTGATATTTTGTCACAATGGAGACAGAGTTGTGGCAAAAGTTTCAGTAAACATGAAGAACGAACATGATTTTGTAAGAACCAAGAAAGCGAAACGTTTCTTCTATCATTAGTTTAAAAAATGTTGATAAAAATGGCGAAACTTACTCTCAACATAATAAAGTCGATTGTTCAATTGAAAAACATTCAATGCATCTCATATTGAAGAGATTTGTAACAAAAGTTACGAAATGTTTGGAAAAATATATATAATTTTCCATTACATGAATATAGAATAACTAGATACTTTGTCCACTGCATTATAAAAATGTTTTTGAAAATCAACGCCTTAAAGATTTCATGGGCTTACAAAAAAAAAAAAACACATGAAGAAGATTGGACCAATACAAAATTATTATTAGCATTTTTCAGTGACAACGATTTTCATGAAGGTAATGAAGAAAGATGTATTGGCTTCTTTATGTGTGTTTAATGTACCTGTATTGGCTTCTTTCTATGTGTTTTATGTACCTGTATTGGCTTCTTTCTACGTGTTTTATGTACCTATATTGGCTTCTTTCTATGTGTTTTATGTACCTGTATTGGTTTCTTTCTATGTGTTTTATGTACCTGTATTGGCTTCTTTCTATGTGTTTATGTACCTGTATTGGCTTCTTTCTATGTGTTTTATGTACCTGTATTGGCTTCTTTCTATGTGTTTTATGTACCTGTATTGGCTTCTTTCTATGTGTTTTATGTACCTGTATTGGCTTCTTTCTATGTGTTTTATGTAACCTTCAATGACAAATACTATATCATTCTTCTGCAAAAGGTTGATTCTACCATTTGAGGCGTTGCCTGCCTTTACTTTGTTTTTAAGCATTGATGTTCAAATGTAGGTATTGGATGGTTTAGGTAGACAAATAAATCCAAACAAACTTTGTTTATGACAGATAATTGCCAGTGGTAGGTTAATTTATACTTTCTACGTATAATGAATAATGTTTTTTCAAAAATCCAGTACCATATTGGCTTAAATTTTCGTCTATGACATCATAACCCCCCAGAGAGTAGCACAAAAAGTAATTTCAAGAGTAACAAAGATAAGAGCGGAACTGAACAGACGAGTATGAATTGAATCGCTGCAGAGTGATTATTTTAGATTATTTTAGACACGTCAGTTAAGGGAAATTATTCCCAGATCACGGTGGTATTGTTTGTTTGTTTTTGAATTTCGCGCAAAGCTACACGAGGGCTATCTGCTCTAGCCGTCCCTAATTTAGCAATGTAAGGTTATAATGTGACGGTCAATCCCACTATTCGTTGGTAAAAGAGTAGCCCAAGAGTTGGCGGTGGGTGGTGATGACTAGCTGCCTTCCCTCTAGTGCCCCCACGGTTGAAAGGGCGAGCATGTTTGGTGTGACGGAGATTCGAACCCGCGACCTTCAGATTGCGAGTCGAGTGCCCTAATCACCTGGCCATGCTGGGTCACCCAAGTCATTAATCCGAATATCAAAGCAATATTTACAAAATGGCCATCCTATTCGCTTTGATTACACGATCGATGTGCAAATAATGTGGCACATTTGCCTATCTGCAATCTGCAATTTAATGTTTCCCAGGGCTTGGGTACAAGTTGAAATACTAAACAAGACGAAAAGAATTTTGTTTTATTTAATTTTTTGCCGCAAGCTGTACAATGGGTTATCTGTGCTGTGCCCAACACGGGTATCGTAAACCAATTTGTAGCGTTATAAGCCTTCAGACTTGCCACTGGGGGGCGTATTCGGTTAAACAAAATGCCTATGTCAATTACACAAAATAAGTTTGTGTTTTATTTTTAAAATTGCTCCTCAAAATAATTTAAAAATTTATAACAATTGGTAGGTATTATACAAATCAACGTTGCGTGTCTTGACATAAAATTAAATACAGAAAATTTACAGTGATGATTATGCTGAATTTTCCTGAGATGTAGCGAAGATCATTTCAAAAACTGGTTTGATAAAAAAAAAACATACCACAGTTGGAAGCGGTAATTTAAGTACTCTTGAACACAGGCCTGGGTCATATATTAGGTGGCGCTTCTCAGTGTACAGAATATTCTGTAAGACACACTGAGTGTAGTCGTCACTCCAACGGTAACCTCCATTGAAGAGCCTTTTCATCTCCTGTTCAAGCAGACGAAGAGTACCTGGTGTCAAAATGTTCCGGTAGATTCCGCCACCTTCGTCGTAACCCGCCTGACACCGACCAAAGGCATTATCTGCAAAAAATAAAAAATAAATAAATTCATTACATGGCTAAGAAGAAGCATATTTATGGCACAGAAGATTAATTTTATATACATCTATATATATATATAACTGGTTACCTGGTACTGGCGTAATTTCGTGTTTTCCCAAAAATATTTGTATTTTTCTTGATTTTAGAATCTGAGTTCATAGGTGCGTTACAAGAGTGACAGTCAAATCCCACTATTCAGTCTGACAAGAGTTCGAAATGAGGCGATGTGGTCTAAAGCTTCAAAATCCAACAAACAAAATTGGAAAACAAGTGGATTTTTAACCGACTGGGTTATGTTTGTTTACCAAATATTTTCTACAAGAGTCTGAAATGTAAAAAGCAAAAGGCGGAAATCATTAAAATATTCTGAAAGTTTCTTTGTGCGTATTTCATTTCTCAAACAATACCCACGGTTTTCGTGCATTCAAAGGATATTTTAACTTAATTATCAAACTATTATACTCGGCATATTCAACAAAGCAAAGCATTAGGATAGTTTAAAACTAACGGGTTAAAAATGTAATTAAGTACGACGTCAGTAAGCTAGGGTAGTAAAAAACAATATGGCTGCGTTCCTTTCCAAAATTTCCGGATTCGAATAATTTGAAACACTTTCCAATCAATCATTGTCTTTGTTTGTTTGTTTGTAATTAAGCACGAAGCTAACGCAATGAGCTATCTGGTATCAAAACCCGGATTCGAGGGTTGTAAGTCCGCAGACACTGGGGGGCATTGTCTTGGTTAATAGCCTATCCACCACCATCTAAGTCTGATAGTCCGCAGACACTGGGGGACATTGTCTTGGTTAATAGCCTATCCACCACCATCTAAGTCTGATTGTTAATTAGTTATTAACTATTTTTATTGTCATTATTGTTATTTTTATTGCAGGTACTAATGAACAATTAGTTTATATACGTTAAAATATGTGATGAGCTCCGACGATTGGACAACGCGTATACAGGTGTAACAAGAAGATTCAGGTCCTGCCAATTCAGTAAGTCCTTCTCAGAACGTCCTAGAAGGTGGCAGGCATAGATAGAATATAGAGCAACTTGTGATTAGTAGCTGATAGTGATACTAATAATAACAATAACTAATTATTAATTACACTTTGGTAGGTGTATATGTTACTAACCGTGGCAACAATAGATAATTTCCTACCCTGCCACCAGTTAGAGAAAGTGGGAGTCTATGTATTGTAATTAGTTTAATGTGAAAAATTATTAGAAAAATTTAATTATTATATATTTGGTTTCTGTACTGCGCTACTTAATCCACCATACGACGTATTAAATGGTTTGTTCATTTCAGAATTTTCATTCAAAGCTATAACAAAGGGCTATCTGCGCATAGCCGTCCCTAACCTCGGATTGATGGATTAAAAGGAAGACAGTTATCTAGGCAACAATACTCATTACCAACTCCTATCTCAGGAAAGAGTGGGACTTATACAGTAGTTAAAGCCTCAGAGTGCAGTGCTCATTGTTTATCGGTAACAGGGCACGAACCATGAATCTTTAGATTCATAGTCCGGGTACACTAAGGTCCATATTAAATAAATATATACTACAGTCTCTAACTGTAAAGGTTTGTTTGTTTTTGCAGTTAAGCACAAAGCTACACAAAGGGCTATCTGTGCTCTGCCCACCACAGGTATTGAAACCCGGTTTCTGCTAAATTAGGGACGGTTAGCGCAGATAGCCCTCGTGTAGCTTTGCGCGAAATTCCAAAACAAACAAACAAAACCATATTTCGTGGCTTTTAAATTTCCTCACAAAGATACATAAGTTATGTTAAGTACTTCTTATGCTGTCTAACAATCAAAAGGTGTGTTAGAGGCTCATAATATTAAAGTCGGGGTTCGATCTCTGCAATGGCCATTTCGCATATATCCCAGTGTTCAGTTTTGTGCTTAACTCAAACAGACAGGAATGCGAGTTAAGTAAAAAAGATGAGTGTGAAACGAAACTTGAAAGAGAAACGTTGATTTACCTTTAATAGTTTTATATGGTTACTTGAGCGCGTGAAAATAAAAAAACAACAAGGAAGATTATTTTTATGATTCCAAATAGCAATAAGAAAACATGTTGAATTTCTAAAACCCAAAGCTTTATTTAAATACAAATAGAGACCAGCTTTAAAAACTGGTTTCACGAAAGATCAATATATATCCAAGTGTCTCCTATAGGCCAAAGCGTAAACATCTTTATACACTATTTTAATACAAAAGTGAACTTACGAAAGCCTTTGAAAAATATGTTTAAACAAAAAGTTTTTTTTTTTGTTTTTGGAATTGCGCGCAAAGCTACACGAGGGCTAACTGT